AAAAAAAAATGTAACTACAGAGTTGAAGACGTTGGGACGATCGTCGCCCTTCCGCTTGCAAATATTTGCTCGCGAGGTACTCATTATCCTTTCCGCTCCGGAAAATGCGAGAGACACTCGCGCAGAGGAGGCGGCGGAGGAGGAGGCGCGAACCTCCCGTGTCCGGTACTTAACTCCTCTCATCCGCCAACGGTCGTCCGGTACCAGGAAATCACGTACCGGAAGTACGACGTCATCGCGACCGACAGGCACGTGGTCACGTCGTGCGGGTCAGAGCACGACGATGGCGAAGAGAGAGAAAGAGAGGCGTCGTTCACGCATGTTCTCGTGCGCCACGCAGAAAAATGGAAACGCATTCACGTGGCCACGAGCGCGGCCCACACGCGCTGGAAGATCAAGGCTATACGCGGCCGAAGTCCAAAGTTTACGGGGTTAATCACGCGCGCTTTCGTAAGTCGCACGCGTGTTCCATTATTTACATAAACGTTTTGCGGAAGCACATCCTCTTTCGATACGCAAATATATATTTAAAAAATATATATTTTATATATTGTATATATATTACACACAATATATATATACACACACACACATATAATGTGTATATATGGAGCAATATTAATAATCGCTACTTGGATAAGTTGCTGCTTAACATCTGAATACGGAACGGCTTTAATTATGAGAATTCGAAGGACCAGCGGGTTAGAAGACGAATTTATATCCGTTAACAAGATCATAATGCAAGATCGAGGGAACAGGAACGACGACTCGAGCTGAGACCAGCAAGAAACGTTTTCCCCGGGCAGATTTCCCTCGTTACAGCGGAAGAGATTATTGTTGGCTACCTCTCTATGAGACCTAGTGCGTAATTGCGACCCGTTTGCGAGCGGACGCTTTTTATAATGCGCCAAACGACTGGGTGTGTTCTCTCACGCGCGCTCTGGTTCCTCCTATTCACATGACAGACGAAAAAAAAATCGCAAAAGGGATCGGTACTGGAGCGTAAAAGGCATTATAGCGCGATACAGGTTGAGCAACAGATGTTCCACCTAGTACCTGCTCGGTAATCTTGCCGGGGGGTTGAAGACGATTAAATACTACGTTTAGAAAGAGGTATGAAATTCAATGGTCGAAGGGTGAAGCCGAAAACCGGCCCCGACGAGAAAGTGCCAAGAGCTCGAGTATTTCCGCTCCGAGAGGAGAGGATGATCATGATCGCGGGAGTCCCTGCCAGATAAATGTCTCTTTCGTGCAGTCCTAATCGTCCCTCGTTTCCGGTTCGAAAGACGATCGAGCTCTTCTTTCCGTTGTCATTATCGTTGGGCTTCCGCCGAAAAAACGCTTTGTGTACGAAAGATCGCAACAGGTTTCCCACCTTTCGCGATCGACGAACGCGCGCGATCTTTTGTCGTATCCTCCTCTCTTTCAAGAGTCTTCATTGACGATTAAAGATATTGAAGACAAGGATCTAAGCTTTAAAAGCAAGATAGGTGAACCGCCTCCTATTCACAGAAAAATATATAGTAGTTTCAACTATAAAAACGACAACCATACAACTTTTATATGTACAATTAATATGCATGTGATTTATTCAACTATGTATATGTGTGTATATATATTATATACACATGAATTCTACCTATAAAACTTGTAACTGTCATCTTTATAGTTGCTATTACTATATTTTTTTCTGAGTGCAGAACTCTTGAATTTTGATAAGATTTTAAAATTAATTTCTATATAATCTGTTCTCACAACGTCTCTGTTTAATAATATCTAAATTATATCTCAATAATGAAATTTATTGCATTAAAATTTTATTATTTAGTTACACAAGATTTTATAACGGAACTTTTTCGATTCAAAAGCTATCGGTTGTTTGACATGTTAATTAAGGAAAAAAAAAATCCCATCTCTCGGCTTCCATCGTTATTTTGCAAACATCTGTCGTACGATAAAACATGAAGGTCCAAACATCAGACACAAACTCATCCGTATATACCCTTGGTTGTTTCATGTCATTAATCTCCGTGGATATCTTATCGCAACCAAATAATGATTGAATAATTATGTCTACTCTACTGGAAATCATGGCGTGATAGATGACGTAAAGCTGCGACTGGCGACAACGTTATGCGCGGCTCGTTGAATTCAGCTTTACGATTATTTGCGACAGATGTTCGACAAGGAGAAACACTCCACGTGCGCGGAATCTTCTTAAGTCGCGGCGGCGAGATTCGATACGCAATAACAACAATCGCAGAGGACTGAGTCGCACGCAGGGAGCGATATATATAACGAGGCGGAACGCAATCGGATAATTAATTGTTCGCGAGTGAAATTAATCTTGATATACCGCGATGTGGTGTCCCGACTCCGAGCCGAAGAATAATTTTGACGAGAATTGCATTAAAGCCGACGGTGATAAACGCGAGTCGTGCTCGAACAGGGACGGTTCCCTCACCGTTTTATACGCCGGATTTTCTTGCGGCTCCGTCGTAATTTCGAATCGCCGCGTCTCCCCGGCGCGGGGTAACGCCAATAAAAATAAACCCCCGCCTCCGTAAAAACCTCCACAGAAATCGTAAAATCGGGGTAGATAGACGGGAAGGCGGCCCGTGAAAAACACGAACGAACGTTGTTTGTACGGCCGAATTAAGTTTTATCACTTCATCAGGCAGTCTCGGGCTTTTACGATTTTTCGAGCCGCCGTAATGAAGCACTATTTGTTGGGAACGAAACGTCGACAACGAATGTCGTATTATTTCGTTTACATAATTTTAAACGTATACCCTCTCTAACATATGAGGTAGATTATATAATGTAAAAGAGGAAAAATTTGAAAAAATAATAAATTACAAGAGATAAATACTATTGTTTAATGAAATTGTGGAGGTAAATATAAAATATAAACATTTTATTTCCCAGAGAAAATTTTCTCTAAAACGAGATTATTTTTAATAGAAAATTCGTAACAATTAAACAAAAATATATGCCAGAAAATTATAGCAAATAAACACAATAAATATCTAAGTATATAATAAATAGTTAAAAAAAAACAGAATGTTTGCTGATCAAATTGAAACAAGCGCGGCGCCAAGTGTCTCAAAGATATTAATTAATCCCCGTGGCATCAATAGCAGAGGAATATGAGAGAAATATTCGAGAGAAGAATAAACCGCCGCGCGAGGAAGCGTTCGATTAGCGGCGGCGAGTGAAAAAAAGAAATCTAATAAAAAATATCCGATCGCGCGCGTGTTGCACAAGTTATAAGTCTCGGTGCGAGAAACGCGCGAGAGAAAGGGGGGAGGGGGGGGGGGGG